GGGTGTCCATCTCCAACCACAGGAGTCTAAGGCACCAGCTCCCCTTTTCTCTGCCCTAAGGTAACCCCAGATGGGGCACAGATCTGAGCTGGGCTAATCAGATGCTCCAGCCCAGGATTCAAGGTCTCGAGAGGCATCCACGGGCTGAGGAAGGGTACAGGAAGGAGTAGCTGGGAGGCAAGTGACCAGGCAGGTAAGAACATGGTCTCTCATGAGTCTCCAGAGAACCCTCCAGATTGCCCCTCCTTCTTTTTAACAAACATAATGCAAGATTTGGTGCTTGTCAAGCCCACTCATTTTTTTTGTCCTTTACTCTGTAGACATATATCTGTGGACTGTTAACAGTATTGTCTTGACCATTTTTGCATTTTATACATGTGTATCAACTATAAGTATCTTTTTTGTACCTTGTCTCTCTGGCTCAACATTGTTTTTTGAGACTTGTCCAAGTTAACATTTGTAGTTCAAGTTCATTCATTTCCACAGCTGTATGATCAATCCAAAATGTGAAGACCTCACAACTGCCCAGGTGAGCCACAGACTTGAGAGCAATAGCACAAGCACATGCTTTAAGTGACTGAGTTTTGGGTGGTTTTGTTATGCAGCAATAGCTAGCTGACACAGGTGTAGGTGTCTTCAGGATTTCACTAGTACAGATGGCACAGCAGGAACTCATCTTGTGTGTCTCTTGGTGCCATGACTATAAGCAATTATGAGAACTTGCCTCAGAGGTGGCATGACTGTGGAGTACAGTTTATGCATCACCAGCTTGCCTGGATGTCCTGGCTCACCTTCCAGACTAAGTCTTCCTGACTCCAATGGCTCTATGAATTCCCACGGTCTCTTCAGTAAATTCCCTTTTACTCAAGTCACACAGAGTTGAGCCTGGCCTACATGAGAACCACCCCGCTGACCATAGACTTGTAAGCAGTAATAAATGGGTGTGGTTTTGAGTCACTCTGGGGCTGGTTTGTTACATGGCAACCACTGACACAGACAGCTGTCTCAATGTAGCCACCAGCTAAAAGCATCCATCTAGCTCTTTAGATACTAGTCCTTAAAGATGACAGAGGGAACATGGAATAACAAAAGAATGGCACCTGGGCTGGTTAGTTAAATCATTCTCATGCAAAAAAAGTGGCTGTCAGAGCCCTTCAAAATAACATCACTAAATGGGGGCTCAGGATAACTGGCATGTGGTCCCAGCCCCCTCTACTGGGTTATCATGAGATGTAGGGCAGGTCCCTTTCCATTTCTGAGTCTCAGTATTCCTGTCCATAAAATAGGGTACCAACCCCTAATTCACAGGCATGCTGTGAACAGTAAGTGAAATAATACGATCCGGCAACAGTTGGATTTCGGCAACCCTGTCGAATTGAGGGACAGACACCTTTTCATCTGTGGTTTGTGAGTAATGACTACTCCAGATCTGTAGAGTAAATGGCAGAATGGGCATCAGATCTGCATCAGGAAGGATGCTTTTGGTGGCAAGTGACAGAAAACTGAATTTTAACTAGTCTAAACTAAAAGGGTGATTTATTAGAATTACTAATTCACATAACAGAGAATTCCAAGGGTAGATGACTTGAGGCATGTTTGATCAAGGCTCCAGCTTTGTTTCTCTGTGATTCTTCTTCTCTACAGTCCTTTGGATGTTGGTTTTGCCCTCAGGGTGATCTGTCCCCATGCCCTGGTTGGCTTAGGCACTCATGGATCCGTCACTATGATAAAAGGGTTGGGATTGTGCCAACTGGCTGGACCAATCTGTGTCCATGCGAGAGCTAAAGTGGAGACAGTCACCTCCAAAATCTCATGACCACTGCTTAGTGAAGAAGACGGAAGAATGAATGTCAGGGTTGCGATAACAAGGACCCTGGCAAGTGCCAAGTCCTATGACAGACACATTGCATAAGAGATGCTACCTCAATGGTCACTAGCATGTCCCTGTCTGGGCCTTAGTTTCCCTCGTAGTAATGTAAGGGACTACCTGGATGGTGTCTATAGTCCTCCACTGCCCCCCACCAACTCACAGAGCCCAGGCTTTGATGGACTAGTCTGAGTCTCAGGCAGGAGGCTAGAGCCCACCACCTGCCATTCATGGGGTGGAGTGGACTCCACAGGCAAATGCTTCTGAGCAGAACAAATTGCTAGAGTATTGTTTCTCTGTCACCAGGTGAATGATTTCCAGGAGTTTATTGGGGCGGGTGAATGATTTCCTTGGCCTGCCAAGCCCTCTCCAAGACTGTAATTGGGTTTCTAGTGACAAATTCTTGACTGGAGCCCCCCCCAGCAAGGGCCAGGTTGTAGCAAACTCCAGTTCACACATTTTTGAGGTCGTCTATCTGCTGCTCCGCCACCTGCTGTCTGCAGCAGAAGAGCCGGAAGTGCCAAACCTGCATCTAGCACTCCATCCCCTCCTATCACACAGTTGCTAGCCCTATGTAGCCGTTTAAATCAAAATCAGTCCTCAGTCACACTAGCCACACTTCCAGCACTCAGTGGCCGTATGGCTAGCAGGTGCCGTTGGACAGTGCCAACATAGAAGCTTTCCATCACTGTAAAAAGTTCTATTGGCCAGCCCACCTCCAGTAGAAATTCAGGGGCGGACCTCAGGCCAGTTCCTTCTCCCCTCTGACTCTCAGTGTCTACATGTTCTTTCCAGCACTGAGCCTCAGCTTCCTCCTCTGAGGGTGGAAGGGTGATAAGGCTAGACTTAGAGGGATAAGAGCTGGGGAATGCTGAGCCGAGGACCAGTAGTTACTGGAATGTAGTCTGGAGCTCAGGATCTTGCTGCTCCAGGTGCGTGATGAAGTAAATGTGACAGGGGAGGGGTCATTTGAGCAGACATCGCCCAGTAGATTTGGTAGGCTGTTCACACAGTAATCATCCATTCTTTCTGCTTATTTATGGGACCCTCATCTTTCACTAGGGCTAAAATGCATAGTGTGGGAGAATGAAGGATGATTGGTCCAGCTCATATTGCCACCCTCATGGTCATTTGCCTGTCAATGGTCAAGGGATGACCATGTGATGTCAGGGGAAGTCTGCTGGAGGCTTCTGGGAAAATGTCTCCTGTCTGATAATAGACATGTCCATGAGAAGAAAGTCCCATTGTGTCTGGCTCTCACTTTCGGGTGTGACTCCATGGTACCCGGTGCTTTGGCAGCCACTTTGGAACCATGAAACACAATACTATAGAAAAGTGACCACGCTAAGGGGGTCACATGGGAGGGCTGGGTCCCCAGTGTGTTTATTGAGCCACTGGACCCACACTACCCCCTCTCACCTCCAGACTTCAAGTAAGGCAAAAATAAATGTCCTCAATGGATGGACTTCTTGCAGCCAAAGGCATCCTGCACAATTCTCGTGCAGGGGTGACAGAGCTTGGCAAGACATACAGGTCCATTCCTAGCAGAGAGAACAGTATGTGCGAGGGTGCAGAGGTGTGACAGGGGTGCCCCATCGTCCAGAGTGGGAGAACTGGCTGTGGGCGAGGGCAGTAGCTGCCTCTGGAGCTGGGCAAGTCCACGTGGTTGCAGGTCGGTGGGGCAAGGGGACAGTGGAGACTTTTAAGGACCAGTTCCTGAGTTACAGGGTGAGCTGTGGGAGGGGATAAAAGGAGCCTTGGGGAGGAGGCCAGGCAGGCGGTAGGGAGGATGATGGGGGGGGAGGTGAGAGGCTTGGGGTAGGGCAGTGAGCAGGTGTTAGTGGCTGAAGGACTGAGGTGAGGTGCAGAGGAGGAGCTGAGGATGTCTCAGGGGGGAGAGAACTGAAGACAGGGCCCTGGAGACAAGGACACCTGAGAGAGGGAGGAAGCTGACAGAGAGGTCTGAGAAAAGACCAGAGAGAAATGCAGAAAGGGTTTCCAGCAGGAGGGGTGGGCACAGGCAGGCTCCCTCGTGCCACAGCAGGAGGGAGCCTGACAACTCTGAGCTGGGCCATACTCCTCCTCTGCTCCACACCCTCCCATGGCTCTCATCTCCCCAAGGTAAGAAAGAGCCGACATCGTCACAGCCACCTTGGATGCCCTAAGACCCCCACTCCCCACCCCACCTCCCCAACCTCATCCTCCACCACTCTCTCCTTACCGTTTCAGCCACACTGGCCTCCTTGCTGTTCAGGGAACAAACCAAGCATGTTTCCATCTCCGGGACTCGGCGCTTGCCGAGAACCCACTTCCTCTGGATCTTTGCAAGGCTCATCCTGTCACCTCCTTTGGGAAGCCCTGGCTACCTTATCTAATACAGCCCCCTCCCACAGTGCTCTCCCCACCCTGTTACCCCGAGGCATCCTTCTCCAGGGCCCATAAGTGTGGTACTTGGTGTACCGACATAGTTGACCCTTGACCGACACGGCGATTATGGGCGCTGACCCCCAATGCAGTCAAAAATCCGTGTATAAAAAAAAAAAAAAAAAATCCGTGTATAACTTCTGACTGCCCAGAAACTTAACTACTAAGAGGCAGCTGTTGGCCAGAAGCCTTATTGATGACATAAACAGTCAATTAACACATTTTCTGTATGTTGTATCATATGCTGTATCCTCACAATAAAGTCAGCTAGAGAAAATAGAAGAAAATGGTACTAAAAAAATCATAGAGAAAAGACATTTATAGAACTGTCCTGTATTTATTGAAAAGAATCTATATAGGGGCACATGGGTGGCTCAGTGGTTGAGCCGCCTGCCTTTGGCCCAGGGTGTGATTCCCCCCTGGGTCCCTGGATCGAGTCCCACGTCGGGCTCCCTGCAGGGAGCCTGCTTCTCCCTCTGCCTATATTTCTGCCTCTCTCTGTCTCTCTGGGTCTCTCATGAATAAATAAATAAAATCTTAAAAAAAAATAAAAGAAAGAAAGAAAACAATCCATGTAGAAGTGGATTCTCCCAGTAGGGAGGTGGAAAGGGAGCAGGTGTGCTGGTCCAAGTGTTGCCGCCGCGGCGCAGTCGCGGGTGAGAATCCGGAGGAGGAAGAGGAGGAGACTGCAAGGATAGGCCCAGGAGCAATGGCATCCAAAGAGAAACAAGTGGTGAAAAATGTCAACATGGAAAATGACCAGCAGGAAAACGAAGAACAGGGTCCTGTGCAGAATGAAGAGGAAACACAATTCGAGAGGGAGTGAAGGCCCTAAGAATGGAAGAAATGTTAAGCTGGGGCAAATGAGAGGACTTGTCCCTAATTTTCAATGGGCCATACCTAACAAGCATATTGATCACAATGAAATGGGAGATGATGTGGAAAAGTTCATAGGGCAAATGATGGAGATCCGGAGAAAGACTAAGGAGCAGCAAATGAGGCATCATAAGCGCTTTCAAACTCCTGAACCTGATAATCATTATGACTTTTGCCTTATACCTTGAATCTTAAGGTTTTCCTTGAGGTTAATAATGTGGCCTCTGCTCCACAAACTTGTAGTTTTGTGATTTACTTTTTCTGTAAACCTTTTGGTGTTTCCACTTAGCAGTTTGTAATTAAATATTGTTTTGTCTCTGTAAAACTTTCTGTCCAGCAGGGAAATTCACCCCTTCTTAGGAAAAACTATTATTTTCATAATGTGAAATTAATAAAGCAGTTGAAAAAGCAAAAAACAAAAAACAAAAAACAAAACAAAAACCATGGTGTTGTTCAGGGTTTGACTGTACTATCAATGCTTTCATATTTATCAGCTCGAATCTGTACCTGTTCTATTCGCAGCCATATATATCCTCAGTGCTCAGAAGAAGGCCTGGCCTGTGGGAACAGTGGAGGAAAATTTGTAGAGCCAATGAATGCATGAGGATTCAGCGCAATAAAGACTCCAAATAGTCCTGAGTTTGACACTGAATCCAGAAAGTGGAAGGTGAGGAAGCGGAGGCAGCAGGTAGAAACAAATCATTTAGGAAGTTTGGCTGTGAAGGAAGAAAAGAAACAGGACTGGGGGAGTGTGAAGAAGGAAGTGAGGGGGCCTTTCTTTTCCAGATAGAGGTAGGTGATGCAGGATTAAATGAGATGGAAGGAGCCAGTAGAGTTCAAGATATAGATGAGGAGAGGACACTGGTAGAGCCTGGCCAGAGGATGTGGGAAGGAGAGGGCCCTAGAGCCTCAGAGGGCTGTGCCAGCAGGAGGGGGAATTGGGGTGGGTGCAGGACGTCTGTTTTGTTATCATTCCTCTGACAGTGGTCCCTGTAATGGGGAGTAAGCAGGAGAGTTCATAATAACACGTGGCATTTATTAGGTGCCTACTGGTGCCCAAGCCCTGGGGAAGCTCTGCCATGGGGCTACAACTAAATACCAGGAGAAACTGAGTCTCTCTTTGCAACAATCATGCTTTAGGGATAATGAGAATCTTGTCAATGTTGGTATTTCCTCCTCTACTTGGCTACTAGGAAGCTCAAAGCCAGACTTGAAGGGCAGTTTTTAAAACTGGGTAGAGAAATCTGTGGTCTGTCTAGCTGCCTTCTTACTTCCTTCCCTGGCTTGCTCACTAGTTCAATTTTTACCTCGTCTTACCTAGAAGTTTTCACTCATCACATGTGTCTGTGGGGCTGCAGTTCATAGAAAATCTAACTAATGGTGGATTAAAAACATGACAGTGGTTTGTTTTCCTCTCTCATAACTAGAAGCCAGGAAGTCTATGGCTCAGGTTTAGGCCCACACTCCACTCTATCCTCAGGACTTGGACTCCATCTCACTCTACTCCACAGTGGAATAGTGCGCTCCTTGTCCTCATGCTTACAAAGTGGCTGCAAAGTTCCAGCACCAAATCCAAATCCCGGGCAGAAAAGAAAAGAAAAAAGAAAAGAAAAGAAAAGAAAAGAAAAGAAAAGAAAAGAAAAGAAAAAAAACTGCCAGAGGATAAACAGTAAAATATGTTTCCTAAAAACCCCTCCTGGCAAGTTCTGCTTAGGACTCATGGGCTAGGACCATTTCCCATGCCCTTCGTACCTCAAGGGAAGCTAGGAAATGTAGCTCTTTTCCCCAGGCATTGTGCAGCTCTGAACAAAACCGGAGTTCTATTACTGAGAAAAAGGGGAGATGGATATTGGTTAGGTAGATGGCAGTATCCGCCATGGTTAGCATATATTTTTCTCTTCCATCCTTTATAGAATAAAAAAACATATGAATGTTGCAGTGGAGCATAAAAGCCCTACTGTTTTTCCAGGGAGCCACAAATGCTGTGTCTATCTCATCTGTGGTTTTGTCTTCTGTTCCTTGAAAAAGAACCAGGTGACCAAGACATCTCTCGCATGGTGGTATCATCATTCCCGTTTTGTAGGAGAAGAACCAGCGCTTCTTCAGACCTCAACAAACATTAAACCACACAGTCATCGGGCTTATTACTCTGCAGAGGAGGAGACGCGGTCCAGAGATGTTAAGCGACTTGCCCAAGATCCTACAGCAACGTCACAGCAAAGCCTACAGGCTGGGTCTTTGGAGATACAGTTCAGCTTGAACCCGGTCTGGACAGAGCTCAGCCCTGAAGGTTGTCGAAGGTAATGTCGCTGCATTCCCCAGAGATACTGAAGTTCCATTAGGTACAGTTGGGTTAGACGTGGGTCCCGGCAAACTGGGACCCTGTGAGTCATGCAGCTGCTGGAGCACCAGGGGCATGAAGAACATAATTAATAACTTTCAACCAAATTCAGGGTGAAACTGGTAAACAATGAACTTGATTGGTGGGAAAAAAATTGTTTTCAGCTAAAAGTCCATTTCCTTGGGTCAAAAGCGTTTTCGGCAGGATGGTTTTCCAGTAGACCATGAAGACCTGAACATGCCCAAAATATGTAATCCCTTAATAAGTGCCGGAGAAACCCTATGTTGGCACCCTGACAAGCTGCCACCCGAATCACAATACGGTTTCAGCCCCCAGAGAGGAATCAAAGTCCCCATTATTAAAATGCGTTATTTATGGCTTACAGAAAGCCTTCCAGACCCCTGACAGCTCAGGAATGAGCTCAGAAATTAACTCTTTGATATTATCAGGGTCAATCCATCTCTCTGGATTCTTTGCCTATGTTCTTCTTCTTCTTCTCTCCCCCTCCTTTCTTTTTCCTGAAAGGCACGTACTGAAGAGGAATTTCATTCAAGGCACAAAGGAATGACGAAGCTGGTTGGGGAACTGCCTGAGCCCCTTCGCTGATCAAACCTCTGATTCATCTGTCCTTTCTGTAAAGACAGAAATGACTTCTAACTTAACTGAAGGTGGCTGTGAGGACGGGAGAACACAGTGGGTGACCTGGGATGCAGAGTATGTAGCTGGAGAGTTCCCAGCCACCCCCTTGTCCCACGGAGGCTCGGACAGGGCACCAGGCCTGGCTGCTGTCACCCAGCAAGATCGCCCTCCGGCAGGTCCTTGGCAAAGTCCCGACTCTGCTTGGGGCCTCAGTTTCCCTCTCTGTAAAATGGCTGTGGATGTGAGCCCAGTGTATTTCAAACTTTTTTTTTTTTTAGTGGTTGAATCTGTATTTATTTTTCAAGCTAAACCGTTCAACGAATCCCCAAAACATATTTTAAAAATGAAAAATGCAGTTGTTTTCCTCTTGGAAAACATAGATACCAAAGGACCCCAGGAAGTCTGTGGTTCCACGAAAGATTGTTTGAAATTCAGGCATGAGCTGAGCATTGAGACATTTCCAATGTGGAATCCCGGGCTCTACAAATGAGAGAAGCTATTCTTTCCAAATGGAATTCTGACTGGGTTGGCCCCCTCCCCTCCCTCCAGCTCCATCCACTGCACACAGTGCTCCTCAGTACAGAGATGGGCTCTTGCTGGCTGAAGGGACCCCATTGGCAGGAGAAAGAACTGACCCTGCCTTGCCTGATGCTGAGGGCTCTGAGCCCCCTGCCAGCTCTCCCCAGGGGCCATTCTAACCAGGGTATAGCATGGGAAGCTGTGAGAAGCAGAATGCTGGTTGGTGACCAGAGGGCCTTAAGCTAGATCCTATGTCTTTTACAAGCTTGCCAGGTGACTACGGGTAAATCATTTCCTTCTCTAAGGTCTCAGTTTTCCCTACAGGTGCAATGCCAGAGAATATATTGGCCAGGATTATTTTAGGCGTAAAGGACAGCCAACTCAAACTGGCTTCCAAAACTGGAAAAATGGGAATGCATGTGCACTGTTGGTGGGAGTGTAAATTGGTGCAGTCCCTATGGAAAACAGTTTGGAGATTACTGAAAAAATTAAAACTATAACTAGCATAGGATCCATCCAACCCACTTCTGGGGACGTATTCAAAGGAAATGAAGACAAGATATTGAGGAGATACCTGCACTCCCATGTTCACAGCAGCATTATTCACAGTAGCCAAGATAGGGAAACAATCTAAGTGTCCATAAACGGATGACTGGATAAAGATGTGGTGCCTATACACAATGGAATACTACTCAGCCACAAAAAAGAAGGAAAACCTGCCGTTTGCAACAACATGGTTGGATCGTGAGGGCATGATGCTAAGTGAGATAAGCCAGACAGAGAAGGACAAATACTTCATGGTATTGCTTGTATGTAGAATATTAAAAAAAAAAAGTCAAACTCCTAGAAACAGAGAGTAGAAAAGTGGTTGCCAGGGATTAGGAGTGTGGGAAATAGGGAGAGGTTGGTAAGAGCGTACAAGGTGAATAATATCTGAGGAGCTAATGTACAACATGGCGATATCGGTGATAACACCGTATCCTATGAGCAAAATTTGCTAAGAGCATAGAATTTATATGTTCTTACTACTCACAGCAAAGAAATGCATGGGGTGTGAATATGTTAATTAGCTAGATGGGAGGAACCCTTTCACAATGTCTAGACATATCCAATCAGCACATCACACACATTGCAAATGTGTCAATTATACCTCAATAATGCTGGAAAGAATAAATAATTAAAAGTGCTTAAAAATTAAATTAAAAATGCCCGGAGCTCCCAGATCACAGCCAAGCTCCAAGCTTCTGGAAGGCAAGAAGACATCCACCCGGATGGCACCAAGAAGAATCTCAAGACTCAGGCTAGTTGGCCTGTTTTAGGTCATGTGACCCCCTGACACATACACACACCCTCGCCCTGTCACTGTGATGGGAGCATACTCTCATCTGATTGGCCATGCCTGGCACATATGCTCCTGTGTGAAGCCCAGAGTGATAATCTACTCCCCTTCCAATCCCTATTATCCCCAAAAGATAATAAATCTCCCCTAAGAAGGCCAACCAAGCACTGGGAAGGCCGAATCCACAGAGGACCATTAGAGAGAACAAGGGTCTCTAGCTCAAACCAGAGTTCATGCAGCACCCAATACCTGGTGCAGAGGAAAGTTCACGTTGCTTTTGTTGAAGGAAGTGGGTAATCCAGAACCCCACTCACACACTTTTTTCTTTACTCTGTGGATCCCAGCTTGAA